AGAGCAGACGTTTTGGCGGTCGGCGCACTACATGGCCTCTTAACTGTCTATTTTCTGGCAGTACATTTTTGTCCACCAACACCGTCTTCCTTGACTTGTGATTTGGAGGAACCTTCTGTTCCTCGAAAGCACTTGTTGCGACAGACTTATTATCTACTGACAAAACAGAAATAAAACCCTATTGCTAGCTTTAACTGCACCAGGCAGGGTTTAGAATTACTCCTGACACCATCGGTTGTAATTTTGGTCCCCCTCCCCTTCAGTAAATGTCATTTGCGCCAAAATGCATAGCTCGTTAATATGTTCAATACAAGAACCAATTATCTTTGTTTTTTTTAGTTTGAGATGTACTTTGAACCGTATGTCGAATATCTCAGGGAATGCTACAGCATCATTGACTACGTGAAGGCCTTGGAAGCCAGAAACCGCCTCTTCGCCGCCTACAGTGAGGTAATAAATAAACACTGTTTTTTTTTCTTTCTTTCCTGTGTTTTAAATATCTTCAGGATTCGTAAGCTTCGCAAAAAAATCGAGCCAAAGTACCAAAATGTGCACAAACCCTGCATTTTAAGCTGTCTTAGCTTGCTTGGCAACCTTTGGGGCGATGGCCCAGAAATAGGAAACCTATGTCCTACTCATTCTAAATCTAGCAACTCAAAGATGATTAAAATTGTCTCCAGCTTCTCAGGTTAAAAGCACTGAAAAGTCGCTCGAAACTGTGGAACTAGATCTAGTGCATTGTTGATTGAGACGCTTGGAAAAAAATGGGTTATAATCAATGCGAAGTCAGAAGTAAACTAACCCTTTTGCCAACAATTTTCATGCAAACAGCAACGTTTGCCAGAATTAAAAAGTAATTAAGTAGCTTGAAGGCTTGCCGAGAAGGGAATTTTCTTTAGGTGCAACTGAGAAAACAGTCAGAAAAACCCTTTTTCACTGACACTGATCATACGTTTCTTTTGAAGGGGAGGTTAAGAAGTTGGGAAACCGGCAGAATCCTACTTTGGGTCCCAGATCAGCACGCGAAAGTTCCATCATTCTGTAGTGCACGAGTGGGTGTAGTAAAGATTAAACAGTCTGGGCTGTAAAAAAGAAAGGAAATATAAAAAAAGTTTGTAAAAGTTTATAAAAAGTCGGAATAATTATTTAAATAATCTAATGCTTGTCAACAAAAAAGCGTGCCATAACTAACATATACAATTATGCAAATATTGAGAACTATTTAAACTAAAAACATACCTAACCAAAACTAAAGTCAAGTAACTAGAAAACGTAAACTAAAGTAAGCTAAACTCACTTAACCAAAAACTTATCTAAAATAAACATAATAAACATAAAAAGAACTAAAGACTAAACTTAAAACTGGACTTTTATATAAATAAGTTAAATAAACCAAATAAATTAGCTTAAGTGAAGGTTTTATCTATGTAAACTAAAAATATACTAATCTATGCTAATCCAACTCCAAAACGGTGAGTTGGACCTGAGGAAGAGAGCTAGACGACCTTGTCATCATAATTTTGTTCAGGACTTTGAAGAAACCCAATAAACTACAAGTAAGTCAGAAATGTGCAGATATGTCACACCCAATAAACTATTAATAAGTAAGAAATGTAAATTAATTTCTGTGTTTATTTAAAGCGCGCTATTTTTTGTGAAAAAATTAGTTTATTGTAACAATTTCTAGGACCCGAAGTAGTATTTCACTAATTTTTAAATCTCAGTGGAACCAATAAGTGCACGTGGGTCTCCATTAGGTACACCGCACATACTGGACCTACTGCGGATGGATTATGTAAA